CAGGAGACGTGGTGTCAGTGAAGCAATACACGACGAGAGGGGGCAGTATATTCACTACCTGTCAAAGCGCTTTCAGCACTTGGATCAGCCATTTGAAAAGCAAATTAATCGGCCAGAAGTAGCATACATGGTATCTGCCAGGGATCGCCCTACTTCCTGGTCTGTCCCTCTGGATAGATCTTCTTGCACAGAAGTCGAATGTGAGAAAAGTCTACAGAAGTTCAATAAGGCCACAGGACTAGATGGACTTCCTCCAGTCCTCTTCAAATTCGAGGGTCCAACTATCATGGATGATTATCACAACCTACTGTTGAGGCTGTAGGATCAGGAGACTGTCCCAACAGACTAAAACAGCTCCACTATAGACCCAATTTCCTGAACGTTTTACGATAGGAATTTGGCAGTTAAAGAAGCATAAGTCTGCTCTCAAATGCCTCCGTCATTATTCACAGATTGACTGGCACCCGTGAAATCCAGATTCATGAATATCCAGCGGAGTTTCTTCTAAGTAAATGATGCACTAATCACATTTGCACTTTGCGGCAGTAACTGGAGCAAGGGCACTCATAATAGCAAGCCGCTCTAAGCATGTTAATCGACATTGTCGCGCCAAGAAGAAAGTAGAAAACAGAACTGTGTAGTAAGATGGTTATTCGCGTAAACGGCAAGTAACAATGTACACCAAAAAGAGCGCAAGGTCTTCGAGTCACATGGACCCAGTAGCATGTTATTAATCAACGGTTGTGGCAGACGGCCAACAGCTACCGATGGACTACATACCGCAGGTGCAAGTGCGACCAAAAGCAGGTTGCATTCCTATGGAGATTTGCAATTCTCTAAAAGATCGATTTGGTGCCGGCTTCTCAACAGTCGTCACAAATCCACATCATTCATATTTTCCTAGTCAACAGCTTTTGACATCCGAGAAGTTTTCTTTTAAGTACACCAACGCCAAAGGGTTACTGAGTAAACTTTCCGAAATGCGGCAGCTTCAAGGATCAAAAGCCTGCGGCGTCATCGCTATAACGGAGACGTGGTTACCCCCTGACATAGGTGACATGGAGATCGCACTGCCAGGCATATCCATTGTTCGGCACGACCGACCCACAAAGGTAGATGAGTGGCTGTGTACTACTGCAACGGCCTCCAATATGAGCCCATAGAGGATCCGGTCAGCGCGGTGCAAGATTCCCTTTGGTGCCGTCTACATTTAAATGGCGACGACACTTGCTTAGTGGTGGTCAATTACAGCCCTCCTTCCTCCACACTCGAGATGGACTCCCATCTGGCATCCGCAATGAGGAGGGTGATAAACACAACATACAGTCGCATCTTCATCACTGGCGATTCCATCATCCACGCTCTGGAATCCCAAGTAGCTCCCGGAGAAGAGTTTAAGGCCGATCTACAAGCATTTGTCTCCAGTTATCCGCTGTATGGTCACATCAACACTCCCACCCGATTCCGAGCAAATGATAAGTCTTCGATACTAGATCGGATTTTCACTAACGAATAACTACTAGTCGAGAAAGTGATCGTTGATGTCCCATTGGACCGCAGCGACCATGCAGTACTATTCTTCGAATACATTTGGTATCCAGAATATCTCGTGGGGATTGCCGAAATAGCAAAGACGACTATACGCTACGACATATTAAGTGAGACAGCCAGCTGGACATTTCTGACAGACCAGGCACTAGCTAATGCGTAGGAACATTTCGTCGACCAGTTTAACTCTCTGGTTTCCGAAGCGTCAGTAACTAAGAACTTGTGCCCGAGAAACGTGGTCTCGTTTCTGCGAAACAAGACACTCGAGTGTATGGCTGTGTGAAACAGCCTGGAATATCTACAAGCTCTCCCCGAGCACCGAGAACTGGATGGTCTATGCGACCCAACCAAACAACTATACTCAGCTTGTTCACGAAGATAGCGTGACGTACCAGCAGAAATTGGCAGTGTGTATGGTCTCAAACAACAAACTTCTGCATCCACACGTCAACAGTCTACGTAAGGTGAAACGGGGAATTCCTCCTCTTCAAACAGCGGACGGACTCACATGGACCTCGAAGGAGGCGGCGAATACCCTGCGCCTATAAGATACTGCAACATTTCAGTGCAAGCACTGGCAACACAACCATATGACAATGGTTGTTTCACCCCCAAAACTCGCTTACATCTCCTTCACGGCAGAAGCTGTATTAAAAAGCTATTGATTATGCGCAAGCACAGCTCTCCAGGGGTTGATACTATACACACGAACTCACTAGCGACAGTAAGAGGAAGTTTAGCTGAGCCTTTGGCTCGATTACTTTAACACTGTTTTGACGAAATGTACGTGCACGAGATGTGGAAACATGAAGGCAGTCCTTCCAATCCAGCCAACTACCGTCCCATAATCTTACTACCGGTTCTTTCAAAGGTCATGGAAGTTATTATTTCCAATGCGTTGACGGCCTACTTGGAAGAATTTAACTACCTCGCACCGGAACAGCATGGCTTCAGACGAACTCGATCGCACATTACAAACCTTCTAGCACCATCCAGTTGGACTGAAGCAGTAGACTCTAGCACATTAGTTGATGTAGTTCTTCTCAACTTCTCATAAGCATTCGCCAGGTTAGATCATAACATTCTGCTATTCAAACTCCAGACATTTGGTATTGGTGATCCTCTCCTAGGATGGATCAAAAGCCTTATTATACACCTGCACCTGGCAGTACGAGTGCGTGAATCCCTGTCACATCCCATCCGAGTTGAATGCGGAATATCACAGGGATCGGTACTAGGACCGCGATTATTTTTGATGTATATCAACAATATTACAGACCTCATGAGCTCGAACTGCCTGCTTTATACCGATGACATCAACATGCAGAGGGCGATCAATACACCAGACGATGTCACAGTACTTCAAGCTGATCTGGACAGGGTATGCGCGTGATCAATCCAGAATCTACTTTGAGTTAATCTCCATGAATGTAGAGTACCGCAGTTATGGCACAAGTAGGTGTACTCCTAAAAACTCGACCTCCAGGATCTTCAAACGACTTCTGGCGATAAGGATCTGGGAGTTTTGGTCCAGGCCGACCTTAGATGTTCGAATCAAGCTGAAACGGCGTCAAGCAGTGGCATCCAAAACGTGAGTCTCCTGAGGCGTGCATTAGGACGATACGGCCCTTCGATGTTTCCACAGTGTGTCGGCTCATACATATGGCCACATGTGGGATACGCGATACAGAACTGACAGTCATGGCTGAGGAGAGATCTCACAGCCTTGGAGATACCCCAACGCCAAGCAAGCAAAATCTCGTGGGTCCGTATAATTTGCCATAGGAACGAAGATTTGTGTGCTGGGGTGTCTTCAGCTGACTTTATCGACGATTGTGCGCAGACCTCATTTTGACTTACCAGATGTTGGGAGATCCCGACCACATGTGTCGCTACTTGCTAGAGCTCAGTCACAACAACAATTTGAGAAGCCACTATCTGAAGCTGGCAGAGCAACACAGTCGTTGGGAATGTTGTCGGAATTCCTTTTCCGTACGCGTTTGCAGAACGTGGAATGCCCTATCGGAATCTGTCATACGTGCTCCCACTATGGCAGAATTCAAAATCTGACCTGACCGTTCAGTTATTTGGCTGCACCATCTTTCATGACTCATTCATTACCCATGGATAAACACTAGTGTCTGTAAGAGATTTCACTGGCAGTCAAATCCTAGATTTCGTCCCAGTTTTCTACCCCCTGTATGTGCACACCTGGAAGGGATACGATTTTTACCAACATTCCATTTGTCATTTCTGATGAATTTACTTTGGATTTACAGCTTACACTGCGTATACCTCAGTGCGTTCATCGGCGTTAACCCAAGTTTGCTAACAATATTTTTATATTTTGTTGTTTCACTACAACGATCCTACGGGACCTGTTAAGCATTAGTTTTTTTTACCTGTATGCAACCATTGTTCCATTGTTCCATTTCTTCTCATAATTTATCCCCTCTATTCCATTCTGAAGCGTAGTTTCTACCAAAATCCGCTCACAGACACACCTAACTGGTTTCACGGTCACCCACCATACGTTGTTCTCCTAGGATTACTTATTATGTATTTAACCACAATCTGTGGTACCGATATATTGCCATCGGAATCATGACGGAATGGGAAAACAGATCTGAATACGAAAAGAAAATAGCAGGCAACCATTTTTGTCCATTTACTTGACTCTGCTTGTAAGCCGCTACGCGACGGACCCTGGGCAACCACGAAATCGTTTTGCTGCTTCACGGAAAGCGAATTATCAACTTGGATGTCTACACCCAACCAGCGCATGGCTACGCGTTACGCACAACTCTGACACCACAATTTCAAAATGTTAATCTTAAATACAGCGTCGGCAAATTGATATGAATTTGTCTGGTAAACTAAATCTTATTGTGATCCTTAGCTTATAGCATAAGAGTGACGTGGTACAGGATGTGGTGCGGCCGTGGACTGTCAATGGATCAAGCTCTTACGAAGACAGTGTACGAGAAGATCCAATCGCAAGCTTTACCGAAGTTAAGCGCTACCAGCCACGAGGTTTGTTGCCTTATCAGAGTTCCCTTTACCGGAAAGCTGACTGAAAGACCGGATTACGGGCATTCTTGCATGGGTACATTGGTACTGAGTAAGCAGTCGTTTTTTAAGTGATATGTTGCATCCGCTTCTTGCTATCCGTCTCCTTCTGTTTCCTTTGTGTTTATATGCCTTCTTTTCTCCTTTCTTACGTTCGTCTTCCATTTCAATTACTATTTTAGTGACGACTTAGTAGAGGCACGGGTAATGGTTACGCGGTTGGCCGCAGCATGTTGCTACCGAGTGATGACGATAGCAGGTAGATGCGATGGTTCTTGGATCCGCTTCGTGAGGTTACCCACAAAACCTTCCTGGATCACTTTTGCTCCTGACGGAAAAGCGCCAATACTGTGACCGAATACTCGAGCTTAGAAGGACATTTTGAAATCACTTAAACGAATGCATATTTATTACCATGGTTTTACGGGGTAAAAAAGTTGTAATTTCAACCTCAAGATGGGACTGAGAGAAAAACACTGGACAGCATCTTTGTCTAGAAGACACAAATCTGAAGCTGTTTGACAGGCTAGATTAGAATAACTCAATTTTCAGAGAACTAAACGATCCCAGCTCACCTTACGAGTCAAACATATGGGAGAAAAGTTAATAAATAAATATTTCTCTACGCTGGGAACCGCGGGGCCCCTCGAGCAGCTTCCGCATAGGTCCTCAACGTCCCACTTGTATCATAGGCCAGAATGCATGGGTTGGCACAACGTTCAGCATTGAAATTCACACACCTCGAATTAATCAAAGTAATGCATCCAAATTCACTTTTTGTCAGAACGTTAGAACTGCATCGAGGAGTCAGACCACAGGAAACAGAAGACTCATGTTTGGAGCTAGGCGGCTTCAATCCTGCTGCTGATTCATCGATCTCCGACCGTACCTCCGCCCCAGGGCAATGGAAGGTAAACAGGGATCGCGAGGTTTGTTTGGAGCTAGAACCCTGGTTCCACAAGTCTCGAATTTTTTTAGTTTGCAATTGACTGGTTGCATTGACCAACGCTGGGTCGTTATCTATTCCAGCCACCAACGAAAAGGGATTTGAACGCCAGAAGTTGTTTTGTTCCAGAAACTTGACAGTCTTTGAAATCTTTTCTAATGTTGGAACGGTGGTATTTTTGCTCCTTATAATTGCATCAAATACAGCCGCTTCAGAGTGAATGTGGGCCACCGCTTCGTCTAGCAAATCAGGATCATCTCTCCATACGCTCCTGGTCTTAGACTTCCAACAAAACCGCTCCACTAATTCCGCAACGGTATTCATTTATGATCCCTCCAGCCAACTGCCATCATAACGCAATCAGTAGTTTGGGAAATCGATTTTTGGCCTTTCAAACGAATATCCGGGTTTCATTTAAGGGGTCCACGTTGAGCATGACGTTGGCGGCGAGCCGTCATCTGACACGCATCAGTCCAACAACCACTGCTGTTTGTGATTTGGACCGGCAATTCAGGATAGGATATAATTTTAAAATATCCGACAACAGTAACTACATGAAACCATTCAACGATTCAGCAGATCGTCGACTGCTTCGCATTGCCAATAACACAGAATGCACCATTCGAATGTCCCCCACAGTCGTGTTTCATCGTGGACAACGCATGAGAAATGTGCTGGTCACCGGACCCTCATGGTTCAATGTGGAATCTTGTATACATCAAATCAATGAAAGCTTTCCACAATTTTATGCTCTTGCTCCACTTCAACGCTCATTGGATGACCTGAAGAAACCCCAGCTATGTGACATTAGGCGGTTTGTGACCACAGAGAACCTGCATGACGCCAACCCTATAGAGGTCACATATTACAAACTGCACTTTTATATATTATCCGGTTGCTATGAGGCATACAACATTTGGAGAAAGGGACGAGTGGCACAGATTATAGAAAAAATGGGTTGCCATCTAGTTGTTTCAAATAAAGATCACCCTGGTGAGGGGCTTATACGGAGATACGCCGTAATACTGGGATCCAAAAAAGAGGAAGTAATGCAAGCCTACAATCTATTTTTCACAAGTCTCATAGAGAAATTGTGCTGAAAACGTAATGTAAAAATATACACTTAATTTTAGGGATTCGAAGCTTTGCTTCATTGCTCTACTAGGTCAAGTGGGGTTTAATCAAATTCCACCATTTGGTCATTACATGCTGTATCCAGTGAATAGCGGACAGAAAATTGGTATGAGGCACGCGAATTGATATGAACGAGGTCTATTATGTTGATATAATCCACAATTTCAATGCGATGGGGTGTGACCTCTATGAAAAAGCTCTTCTGGCATTGCCACTTGAATAGTTTGCCTCGCTTCTGACATATAGATCGAGTACACTGAAGCAACCCCATAGCGAAACAAGGCATCGAGCGAATTATTATAGTTAAAAGAGGTTTGCTGTTTTTGCTCGCCCCGAATGCTGCAACTCAAGACAGCTTTTGTCCTCCTTCTTAGTTGTCAGATTAAATTCGGTTAAGTCAGTTTCCGTGGACCATATAGGACTCAGTTTAACCACCTTCCAATTTCGTGTGTTAATAATCAAACTATATTCTCTGAACATTGATATTCGAGTGACCGTTCCTACAGTTACGAGCAGGAAAGATCAATAGTAGAAGCAGTTGCTAGTAAAATGGTTAATGGAGTAGGATATCGATCATAGACTGCTAGCCATAAGTCCCACCAATTTTTGCAGAAATTCGGGAAGCAGATCATTGTCTATTTGAAACCAGTTTGCAAGAATTATCGGATTTTAGCAAGGCAGATGAGGTTTATTTCAGCTGAGTATAAAATATTCGTGAACAAAATTTTTTGTATCTATGCTCTCCCTGGGTCTAGATGAATTCTTGACAGTTTGTCCGATGTTGCTTTTTCAAATGAGATTGGGGTGATTAATGCTACTAGACACCTTCATTCCCAAACATTTTCACATTATCTCTCCTCGTAATGTGGCATGTCCGTAAAACATACCTTGACTAGTTTATCGGCTGCCATAGGAGTTTCACGCTGAAGTTTAACCTTTTTGGTGTCTAGCCAACGTCGACGCCCAAGCATGAAAAGAGTGAACAAACCGATGTAATGTACAATGTAAGATCTCAGGTTTATTATCGCAGGGCGCTCTCTTAAGACAAAATGTCTAACCGCTTCCTGTTGACACTAAGATGGCATAAAGCTGAACTTTTGAAGCTGTTCATCTCGATGACAACTAGGTCCCACGACCCAACATAGTCACACAATTTCAGGGACCCTACAGAAGTTGACCCCGTAAGCCCCTCAATATGTCCCGACTTTAGTTGGCGCTGTGGGTAAACCCCAAAAGGCAAACCATTCCTTTATATTTCTCGGGTAATTACGAAACAATTCTGTTACTCCTGCTGACGAGCTTTGGCTTGTCCGAAATATTATAGCAAAGGGCGTCAAGAACGGAAGTCAGATCAGCTGTGGACACAAGAAACATTAATGTGCCTAGTACCGAGACATGAGGAACTCCATTCTTAGCGGTACCTATGCCTATACTGGCATCCGCAGCTTTAACATGGAAAGTTTGGCACAAAATATTATGCAATCCAACTCTTTAGTTGTGAATGCAGTTCGAATCAAGCCAACTTCTCTTCCAACAAATAATAATTTAGTAGGCTAATAGGCTTTCTGAGATAGAGATAACTAGCTCAACCTGAAGATCGGTTTTGTGGTAACGTATTATCTCGGCTAAAAAAGCCATAACTTTGTAAGATACCTCCCTTTTGTTATAAAAACATCCTATCTCGCCTCTGTCAACTTGTGAACAACAAAGTGATTATGATTTCAATTTTCTACTAAGCTTTGCAAACATGTAAGTATAGCGCGTGTGAAGCCAACTGGTCAATAATTTGGGAAAAAAAGATTAAGAGCCTGTCTTTGGTTTCGCCATACTAGCTGCATAATTCAAGTAATTCAGTAGTCCTGTTTCACCAAACAGCGCGTTGAACAGATCCAAATTAAGATACTAGAGTGTACCAGAAACTGGTTTTACCGCGGTACATTATTTATGCCCGTCGAATCATTGGAGTATAAATATTTAACCTTTATAGCTTTACTATGATATGTTGCAATCCCCTCCTACCTTCACAATGAGGCTGAGCGAAGGTGTTGAGAACGCAAAGCGGTATAGAACAGTTTTGTACCAGAGAACGCAAGTCTAAACACCATAATATTTCGAACACATAAACCATGGTCCATTTGCGCACTTCCTTCGTGGTACCTTCCATGTACATAGTATTGGTGGATGCTGAATTGTGCATCACGCCCCCTTCGTCTACGGCGATCCATTATTTCTCTGATTTCCTCGCACCGGCTTATTTCTACACATACTAGTCCTCAAGTGCGCATCCCACTCCCCTCCAAATTTTCCACGGCAGTCGACCTCCCCGCACTCTCGCCGGTCTTTATCTTTATTCCCCAACGTCATTGCTTTTATCTATGGATGGTATGGAGTGCTTCGCAGCCCCTTGATGCACACTTTCTTCAAACATGTCCGGAACTCGTCACGTTCAATGCATGGGCTCTGATCCGTCAGATGGCTCCCGAAATCCCTAGACTCGCTATCACGTGTTTAATCACATCATGTGTTTTCTTGACAGACTGTTGATCCGGAACTGCCACCGCTTCATTCCACTGCATGAAGTGCTCGCTCACCACGACTATTGCCACGTCTTTTCACCGGGAACGGCCACATAATGTTGACCACAAATCACCAATCTCGGACACTGGAATCGAGGGTATTGTGTCGTTCTTCGATTGCCTCTTTTCAAGTGTTAACATTGATGACGTGCTTTTCGATCCCAGTTCAATAAACTCGCTGTCCAAGTAAATCATGTGCTCCTGCACCCAGGTTGAGCCATCACGTGACAAGAGATCATCGACGGTTTCTTCAATTTCGATGGGATTGTGGGCACCGACCTAGTCTCTCGCCCTTGTGTTCACATCAGAAATTCAGCTTCGTTTACGGCTTTTCCAAAATACGCGAGAACGGCCCGAATTGTTGGCCTTGACTTTTCGTGGCCGCAGCTTGATTCGTCATTCTTGCTGTCATCACCCTATTCACGAGCTGCTCCTTTCGTTGTTCAGCCGCCAACATTCCCGGATCATGCTCCAGCATTAAACCACTAGCACCGAAAGTAACACTCGGCAAATCGTCTTCGTTCATCATGCGCACTATAAAATCCGCCGTTTTGTTACTTTTCCCCTATATGTCGGTCAACGTAAAGTCGTATTTTTGTAGGCGTTGCGCCCATCTCGCTAACTTGCCTCTGGGATCTCTGGAGGACCTAATCCATTCCAACAATTTATAGTGCGTTTCGACGTAAAACGGTTGACCGTCACTTGTTCAGAGCACCGAAAATTGTCAGACACTCTTTCACCACTGTCGAATATTTGTGTTCCGATGGTGCCAAATTTCTGCTAGCATATTCGATCGTCCCTTGCTTTTGTTTTTGTAATACACCGATCCCAACCTCCTTTTCTTCTATGGCTATCGTGAAGTTTTCTCCTGAGATCGGCAATTTCAACGTCAGTTCCTGCCGCCCCACCTCTTTCTGAATGTCACCAAAGGCTCGCTGCGCCTCTGCCGTCGAAAAGATTTTACTTATCCTAACAGCTTGTACAAAAGTAACACCCTACTGTTAAAATTCCTAACGAATTTGCTGTAATATCCGCCGCGGCCCATAAAGGCACTGCGACTGCGTTTTGAGGAAGTGGCTTGGGTGCCACGAAATGCCAATACTTTCTCCGGCATCAGCTTAATACACCCTGGCCCACTTGTGAAAAAGCAGTGGCAAGGACGTTCCTCGATTTGAACGTTAGGCTCTTTTGTACACAATCCCGACTGCTAAACTTTTGCCACGTTATTTCCAGATGACATTAGTGTTCTGTGTCCGATCCGCTACACACCACGATGTCATCCACATGCACTTTCTATATCCTCGTAGCTGTCCAGCAAGCGCAGCAGCAAACGCTGGAAGGTGAATAGACCGTCAGGCAATACTAACGGCATTCTTTTAAATTGGTTCCGCTTCTCACCGATTGTAAGCGCTGTCCTCGCACTGTCCTCTTGTTTGCTCGCAGTCTACCAGTAGCCAGATCTCAGGTCTAGTACCGTGAAAATCTTTGACTTCTGCAACCTACCGAAAATGGCTTTGATTGAACGCACCAGGAGTAAACAACTCAACCAACATTCGTTCACTCTTCTGAAGTCAGCACAAAAGCGGTACTTACCATTTGCATTTCCTATCAAGATGACTGGGGAGTTGTACGGGTTGTTAGGCACTTCGATTACACCGGCATTTAATATCTTCTTTAACCCGTCTTCGGACCTCAGTCTCCAGGTGTATTGGCATTACTCTGGGCCCATGTGGCCGATAGCAATAATGCTATAGTGAAATTGTGTTTTCGATCCAAGGACGAAACCCGAAAGAACTACTATCGTCATTAAAGAGGAGAT